CTGCGAAAGTGAAGTGAGAAAAGGAACTAGTTTGATAGTGAGAAGTGGGAAGAAGTGGTTCAAAGAAACAAAAATGTTATAGAAATAAAAACAAAGTTTAATATTCCTGACAAATTGGTTTGAGGGGTCTGTAACATGATGATTTTCGGAGTAAAAATGTGTTGGTGTTTTCATGTATAGAATATTGGATTTTTGATCAAAGCCTTATATCTGAACAAATCGGTTGTTTATACTATATAATATAATACATTGCTTTCAATGATTTTCAGTGGCAATATTCATTGGTTTGTAGATATAAAGAGTACAAAAAATTGTATGTCCTTAGCTGCAGTTTTGAAAAATTTTTGATCCAAAACCTCATATCCGAGGAAATCGGTGGTATGAGGATTATATGTTATAGTCGAAGATTTTCAGTGATAATGTTTATTTCTACGCATGTATGGGTATAAAATACTAAATTTCATGCCCTTGAATAGTTTTTTGATGAATTTTAGATTAAATACATAATATCTGAAAAAACAATGTATGCGAGCAATATGATTTAGCCATCCGATTTCGTTCAGTTTCAGCATCAATGTGCAGTTAAAGTTAAACATATGTGTACAGAGTACCGATAACTTTACGCTTTCAGATGCAACATCTTCTCTATGCACGAAATTTGGGTGAAACATTTCAGAACCAGAGGGCTTGGTATTCGTTGAAGCATTCTGTCATTCTGATTAAATCGGTAAAATTTAGATGGATCTATTTTTGGTTTATACATACTAGGATCAAAGTAAAAATAGCATTTCATGTTCATGAAGGGTGAAATTTAAGTTAGAAATCGCATATAAAAAACGCAAATACAAGAGAAAATAAAAAAAATGAATTAAGTATTAATTATAATAAATAAGTGGTAAAATATTATTCATTTTACATAGTTTTAACTACACATATGTAAATTGCTATTGAAACCTACGTAGAAATATGTATATCTCAAAGATTTGTCCACAACACTTTATTCATACGGCTGGCTGCGGCTAGTGTTCCAGTAGACCAATGTGTTCTATCTGTTGACCTAACGCCATTTACGGCAACGGCAGCTCCTACTTGATTATTAAAGGAAAACCAATCACCACCAGTTCGACATACGCAGCAAAGTGTTACTCGTTGGGAAAAATACTCACTTTATGCTACGAGGCCTACCGAGCTAATATATTTGGGGTCATGATGTAGCTTCAATTCTTGGATCCGTCGGACTTTATTAACCGAGGTCATTATGCAAAGTCCCGCGCAAATAAGTACGCGTAATTTTCCTGTTCGAGCTCACTTTGAACTATAACAGCAAAGTTTAATTGAGCTGTTGATCACAAAAAAATGATAGATACTCCCCCCTTAACAAACAGATTTACCCAAAATGAAATTAAAAATAAACATGGAAAAACTTAAATTAGAAAGAATTATAAATTATTACTTAATACATGGGGTGTGGAATGCTGAAGTTTCTGAGATCGCCCACCGTATTCATCATCAATAGTTGTTTTTTTTTTGTAATTTCGGCTTGCTGCCCATACCGGAAATCTCTGTATTTAATAATCATATTATTACTATGTACTTCCATTCTCTGCAAAAAACCTACAACTTAAATATGTATGCAAAGAAATTTCTTGAAAGGATATGTCAAGTGCAGTTCGATACACTCTACTAACAGTATAGAGGTATATAGGTGTGTTACCCATATGTAAAGAAGAAAAAAACACAAAAAATTAAACTTCTTTTATATAAACCTTATTGTGCATTTACTTAGGGTCTTAATATATGTAGGCATACATGGCTGCGGCACACACAGAGATTTAGCAGTTCCATTTGTTATTTGTTGTGAGTTTGTATTTAATCTCAGAGCTAAGCATTAATGTGAAATTGAGTTTGTTTTGCTGTGTGCTTTCTGTTTAGTTTTTGTGATGGACAGTAAATTGTTTCATTGTCAAAGGCATTCGTAGATAAAGAAAATAATGAAAAGATCCAACCAAAGACTAAAGTGTGCATCTAATGAATACAAAACGCCAGCAGTGATTGTGGGACGAGGGACGAAAGGCTTTAGTAACGAAAGCAGAAGGCATTTCAAAACGCACAGAGTTGTATGCCGTGTCTCTGAGAGGTTTACTTCTTTGTAAATTATGTATGTAAATGTGGAAAAATATCAAAATTACAGTTTTGAAAGGAAAGCAATTTACTAAGACAAAACGTGCGATTCTATGACTACAAGGCGACTAAATGAATGCAAAAATAAGCTCTTCGTTCAAGTAAGTTTTGTAATTTAAAATATCTCTATTCTAATTCTAATTATAGAGTCCTAATAATAACTTTAATTTATATAAAATGGTATAGTAATTTTGGTCCAAAGTGCAATATTTAAATACCAGAAGAAGAATATATAGGCACATAAAAGTTTGTACCGGGCGGCTCAGATTGAACGAGTTGATTTAGCCATGTTCGTCTGCATTTCTACTCATTTATTCGATAATTTATCGGAACCGGCCAGATCGGACCAATATAGCATATATACAAATGAATTTTAAGATTTGAGATTTTGGGTTATAATCTGTGAAAGAAACATCTAAGAGCGCTAAATTTGTTACTTGACGAACATATACTGAATTACACATTTGTGCCGATTCTTATCGATACCGGACGACGAACAAATAAAGCATTTTTTTTCTAGTTGATTTAGCCATGTTCGTTTGCATTTTTACTTCTTTAATCGATAATTTATCGGAACCGGCCAGATCGGACCATTATAGCATATGTACAACTGAATTTTAAGATTTGAGATTTTGGGTTATAATCTGTGAAAGAAAGAGCGCTAAATTTGTTACTTGGCGAACATATACTGAATTACACATTTGTGCCGATTCTTATCGATACCGGACGACGAGCAAATAAAGCACATTCTTTTTCTAATTGGAGGCTTTGGTCAAAACTCAGTCCAAAAAGCATGTATAAACATGAGATTTTATATTCTGCGTACGTACTTATGAACAAATATTGTCACTGAAAATCAAAGGAAATCGGATGACTATATCATCTGCCTCCCATATAGCAAAATAGTTCAAAAAATCATCTTAGAGTATGAAATATTGTGTTACCCAAACAATATTTATATCGGAATTTGTTGAAATCGGAAGACTACGTCATATACGGATTTTTTCAGGTATAAAGTTTTTGGTAGAAAATTCTTGAAAAAGGCATAAAGGGCAAGCAAGTTTTGATCTATACTCGTTTATTCAAATAAACGTATGAATAGACACAAAGATTCATCGAAACCGTAAAACTACATCATAAAATCACCTGCAACCGATTCTTCAGTCATAAAATTTGATATTTAATACAAAAAATTTGATACGGTTTTAAAAACGATAAAAGATTTGGCATGTCCATTGCAACTTTTCTTTCTTGTTTTGCATGTAACTGTCGCTGCGATCAAGCTCTTGGCTAATAACCGATCGAAAACATCGAAATCAGATCGACCGTGTTGTGATAGCAGGAGGATATGTCTTCAGTATCTTGGATGTACCTATGCATCAAGATGTTAACATCGCCTCGGATTACTGTTACGTCACGAGCGTCAAACTGGCCACCAAGTATTTTTTTTACCAACCAACAACTTCATAGTGAGGAACTAAAGCACGACATTTCAAACTCCCATCAGATTCACTCAAAATAGAAAAGCATAAATCAGATCATGATTTTCTTTTCTTCTTTTAAATAACTTTATCACAGCACATTACATTTATTTACCGTTTGAAATAATAAAAAAAATTAATTAATTTAATTAAAAAAAAAATGCAAAAAGGTCATTTTTATCAAAATGCCATAAACTTTACTTAGCTGAATTTCATTATTCATAATTTCTCACATCGTACCAGAGTGCAAATGCTAGACACAAATATTTTTGCTATTGTTATTGTTGTTATGTGGAAAATCCATTTTAATCCATACGAAAATGTTTTAAAGCTCATATACTCATATGCATTTTTCGATGGACAATATTCTATATACACAAATACAAACATATCCACACACTATATGCGTCATATTTAGAGGTTGCACAATATATGTTAATATATGAGTATGTGCAAGCAAACAACCTCTCGTATTAGCAAAAGCTGCTCTTATAAATTCTGCTGCATGCTTTTGGCATTGACATAAGCCATTATGACGTAAACAAATCGAATTTTATTTTATGTACTTAATTTATGGGTTCATGAGAAACTCTATGCTGCAGGAACGCACAAGCAAACACGTTCATATGTAACTGAGTTAGGGTATGCGTTAGTTGAAAGGTATTATTTTAGTGGAAGTTTTTAATTTTGAAAAATTGGAATGTTTTGACGTAAGCTAAGTAAAAATCAGGTGGTATTTCACTACACTTCAAAATTGATTGTTTTTCTTTCGAAAATATAACAGAAAAGTATATATATTTTTATGCTAAAAAAAACTTATCGGTCTACCAAAATAGTCTCACAAGTGATTTACTAATTCCCATTAGCTATTCAAAGCTAAATTTGGACTTAATATTCCAGGCGAAATATAAATACTACGTATACGCACTGTCGCCCCAAGCAAAAAATATTTAGCCAAATATGCAAATGCATACTTTCATCAACAAATGCATATACATAAGTATGCTAATTTTTTCCATTTATAAACTGAGAATGGTTATGAATATGAGTTTTAAATTTAAAATAAAATGTATATACGTTTCTACTTATAACATAAGTGAATGTATTTGGAAAGTGTTGTGTTTGTTAAAAGCCATGCGTATTTTAAGGTTTTTGTATTTTTACTTACGGATTTTTAACTTAAAGTGTTTGCGCTTTGCATTTTTAAAATACTTCTTTAAATTTCTCAACAAATTTTGTATGCATACATACATACATGTGAACATTTTTCTACAATAGCCGACTACTACATAGTACGCTCATTCATATTTCAACTGTTTTCTGTATTTTGGTTTACAGTTTTGCCCAAATTTGACCCGTCCATCAGCGGCATTGTGCATCCATATAGATATGGGGATTTTCTGGCAGTGAATTGCAGTTCAGATTGGTCAAATCCAGCAGCAACACTTACATGGTATATCAACAACAAAACGGTATGTAAAAGTATAAGTATTATTTGTAGATGTGTGGGTATGTAAGTGTGTGTACATTGGTAGTACCGCCCATAATATGTTTTGTAGTATAAAATATTTACGAAAAAATATTAATTAATAATAGTTCTCGTTGGCGAATAACACTACGAAATGATTCATGGGCATTTTTGAGTATTTTGTATGTCAGGTAAGTTCAGAGGTGAACTATTGACCAGCTACTAACTATGGCAGAGCTTAACTAAGTGGCCAAAGTGTCTGTGTTAAGCGTGATTTAGTTGCAGTCACGCTGCGGTAGATCACATTGATACATTGGCTTTTGAAGGGTATTATTATTTATTAAAAATCTAGTCTAATGTGAAAAAATAATATTTTTTATTACTCAAAATTATTTAAAAATATTGTACTAAGCATAGCTCTAATTGTAGGCAATAACTAGAAGTATATAAAAATTGATATAAAGAAGCAGCCTACATCTAGGGGCATTAAAATGATTAGTTTTTTTTCATTTTATTTGTTTAACAAAATTATATATTCTTCAACTCAAAGGGGGACTAATAAAAAAAAAATTTCTTTACATTAACCAATGAACAAATAATTAAAAAAGTATGACTTATATATTAAAGTAGCTTCAGTTAAAGAGTCCCAGTTTCGGAGTAAAGTTTTCTATATTTCCCAATTTTCTCAAGCATAAACTGAAAAATTTTATTAAACCTAAACCTTGCTATCTCTTTTTTGTTAAGTTTCTGAGTTGGTTAATTTTTTTTTTAATTTATTCATATAAAAATATTTTAACTTTTGCCAAAACTTTATTTCTTATAAAATAACCACAAGAATGAAAGAACTCCAATGCATTCTTATTTATATTTGCCAACCGATAATATTTAACAAAAATTTAAATGCGGCAATTGCTCAAACTCCTTTAATTTTCTGTATGTCATTCCCGTACGAACAAAGATTGCGTTCAACATGTTCGTGCGTGTAAACGAGACTACAGTAATAACTATAAAATTTTATTTTTATACACATGCATTTGTGAGAATTCTCGCACATACCATATACATATGTACATATCCACATAACTTAAGCTACATATTATATTATATATAACCATAATATTGCATGCTTGCACATCATACGCATATAAATGCACTCGTTATCGGCATATTTTAACGTCATCATCAGCCTCGTCACCGAGGTTGTTTGAGAGTTAAGTTAAGTCGTCGTCGTAGTTGGTTGAAAGCAATAACCAGCTGATTTTTTATTCTTTTTGAAATTTGTTTTTTGTTTCGTTAACTTTTTTTTTGTTCAGCAACAATCTGAACTTACTTATACATATGTATAAATGCAATTTCTTTTGTTGTTGTTATACTCATTGCCAACATCCATAATAAAGGCATTCAACGGCAATAAATGCAAGAGTAATGTTCATATCTCGGCGGTGCTAGTAGAGAGCAAAAGTCAAGTAGCCTTAAAACAATCAGGTTGGCGCTTAAGAGTTTTAATATGTATGTGAATACACATAAGACCTAGCCGCATTTAAAGAATTTATAACCTTAATTTTCCCAATTTTATTTTGTATAAATTTATAACATTTCATATTCATTTTTAAAACTTAATTTATTTATTTCATTATATTATTTTATTAAACAAAATTTAGTTTTTTTTATTTTATTAATTCTAACTAAATTTTAAATAATTTGGTTCGATTTAAATTACGTTAATCAAATTTTACTAAAGCTAATTTAATTTATTTAATATATTTCAGTTAACATTAACTTGGCTTGATATATATTATATTAATATAATAATAAATAAATATTATTATAAGTTTTTTTTCCTTTTATATTTTATTCTATCTTACTTTATTCTATTTGATTTCATTTAGTTTTATTTGATTTTATTTTATATTACTTCAGCTTATATTATTTTATATTAATTTATTTTATTTTTTTGTTTTATTTTATTTTTTTTTATTTTGTTTTATATTACTTCATTTTATTTTATCTTGGTTTATTTTATTTTATTTTGTTTTATTTTATTTTTTTTTATTTTTAGAAATTTATTTTAATTTTATTATTATTTTATTAATATTGTCTAAGCGGGTGGGGGAGAATGTGAAATGTATTCAAGTTGAGCACTAGGCTCGTTACAAAAAGTTGTGGACTTTACCCAATGCCATAGGAGGCACCTGACGCTGCGCAGACGCCAATCGCTTACTCAAGGAGCATGGATGGGAAGACGCAAACAGATCGATAGCAAGATATCTGATCTGGACCATTAGAAGGTTAATTCCGTTGCATACAATGAACTCTTTAGCCGTATCTCTTCGCGGATCATTTGAGAATTGCATTCTTGCATACATGCATGAATGCAGAATCATTCATACATATATGCTAGAAAGCAAAAACCCAAATAACAGGAAGTAATTAGCCTGCGCCCAAAGTTATGCAAGGATTTACGCTCCTCGCGTAAACAAATATTATTATATTTTTTTTTATTCAATTAAAGGTTGTTTAATTTTATAACTTAAATTAATTTAAGTTTTTTAGTTAAATAAATGTACTGTGCTATGCTATTTTAATTTTTTTTATTTTAACTTTTTAAGCTTAGAGAGCCCTAATGAATTATATTGTATGTTGAGGCTTGGCGATTTTCACCGCATGGTAGCTGCCGATATAAGCATATTCGTAAAAGATATACTACTTCAAGAATATGTGTATGCTTGTGGTTTTAAGGAAACGCCATTTGAGTTAAAACGTGTTCGTTTAAGCTGAGTCAAATGCTGTAGTCGTGGTTACAAAGCAGTGACTGTGACACAATCAACAGCCGGATTCAGTGGATTTCAAATAGTTTGAGTGTTATTTTTAATGGCAGTGCTGCTGCCGAAACCAAAGAACATGTAATGATGGTTTATTTATTTTCATATGGAAACGCACTTTTCTTTTAATTTTATGCCAACAACAATTATAACTGCACAACTACATATTCACATTGAAAATGAAAATGAACTAATAAAGATTGCTCAAAGTATGTTGATGAAGATAATTTGCACTTTTTCCTCCACTTCTTTTTTCACACTTCAGTAATACAAACACACATAAGTATGTAGATATGTGTATGACTTAAAGTACGCAGTCACTGCTTTTATGTAAGTTTGTCGTTTTTGCATTTCCATTTTATTTGCTAGTAAAAAGTGTTCTCTGAAAAAAACTCATAAATATGTGTGAAAGATACTTGGAAATAAGCTCATCTTTACTCACTTTATAAAAATTCTGCTTCAAAAGAATTTCTATTTTTTAGTCATTGCTGAGTAATTCTACAAACTTCCTTAAGGGCAAATTTATGGACACAACCATATATATGTATTTATATTTTCAAATATATGTAGTTGCACCTTTGTTTGATTTTGTTGTTGGTGATGATGGCATACCATAGAAGTCAAAGTGTGCACAAAGTGTGTCATACGTATGCACAAAGTCTTTCCTGTACATACATACGTATGTATATCACATTGTGCCCATAGAGGGTTTAATGATTTACAGCGTGTGTTAACTGGAAATTACTTCTGAAGTGCACTGAAGTGCTCGTAAAATGTACAACTTCTTCAAACTGTAAATGAATGCAATTCAATTTCACATTTCAAAAGGCTTTTGTACTTTTGGTGGCTTAATGCAGTTCTTTAATGCTGGGTAAATGACAAAACTGTATTTGATCTAACGATTTTTTTTTTTAATTTTTTTCATAAACTCTCTCGTTTTTGAGCGGATTGCTCGATTTCCGGGGCTTAAATAATATTACAAAAAGATTAACGGAATGGTCTTCTTTACGGAACTTTCAAAGAAGGAAATGTTGAAAGTTTCACAGCACTGTGAACTTTTTATAGTTGGCGCTTCGTAAACGCAGTACTTAATGCTATCCCTCGGCTACCGTGGCGGTTCTGAACTCAACGTCGAGTTATTTCACGTTTAATTTTATCAAAATATAGGCCCAAAGCTAGCTCTATGAAAATAGGAGATCTCGTTCTCGTGCGATGCCAATAAGTTTTTATCTGTCATTAGGACATCAAACGCTCTGAAGTAAATTCGGTATTGCGTGAGCAAAAATCCTATACTGGTTCGGTAGCCAGACGAATGATACTTTTGGCAATTTCAACAACTATTTCATTAGCAACAACGGCCCAGTATATATGCAGCAGTATATATCCAAACCGTCTTCCGCCGCCTTGCTTCTATGAAAATTTTCTGATGTAATACAGAGTGAGGTTATTGTCTCAGTTGCAGCTCGGTTATCGAAGTACGCACTGTTTTTCTAATTTTTTTTGTCATACTGCAGTGGCAGCTGCTCTCTTACCTCGTAGTGTTCCGTTTGTGAAATGCTGTTTAACTAAACTATTTTATAAGATTTCACAGTTCGTACTCCATCATACATTTTTAATCCAGCTTGTTGGGCTCATTTAATCCCTTTTAATATGGCTTGAAACTTTCTTTGCCAGATAAAACGTTGAGGGTATATGGTCCGCTCTATCCACGATTTCCCTTTTTATCGAACTTTGTTCAAAGGCTCAATTTCATAGCTGGTTCCACGTAGAATAGTAACTATTGCAGTGGTTCTTATCACTCCTGTTAGGAGGAGTGAAGCAAGCCGATGATTGCATAAAATCATGCTGACACCAAAACAGCGTAGAGCAAGATTGGCTTTACTCCCACTATTTAACATCACTGCATGAGAACCATACATTTTCCAAAAATATTTCATTACCCAGGAACTTTGAGAGCTCCCACTTTCTGAAGACTGCATGATGCCTCTTTCGCTTGTAAAGCGAAGTAGCAAGTCAGTTAGGTAAACTATAAAGAAATATCGAAAATGCTATTAAAGTAATATATAATATTTCGTGACCCGCATGCGAGCACTGTTTATACTGCAAAGGTCCTTTGATTAACGCCCAGGAAGGCTTTGTTATGTCTTTGGAGCTTTCGTGCTTTGGCAAGAAATTATCTATTATGAACTGTTCCAATATCGTCAAACTCTTAATTCGGCCCTGTACTGTCAGCAACTGAACCGTCTGAAGCCAGAAGCACCCTGCTTTGGCCGACAAGAAGGGAATAGTCTTCCATAAGGATAACATCAAACCATACCCAGCGATAGTACTTTACCATAAGCTCCGAAAGTTCGACTGGAATGTTCTTAGGCATACACATTACAGTTCGGACCTCGCACAAAATGATTACCAACTGTCTCTGCCTATGATAAGTGACTTAGCTGGTAAAGAATTGGCCTCATAAGAAGTATGTGGAAATCACCGTAATTTTTGCCTATAGGGCAAGGGTTTCTAGGTGAGAGGCGTAATGATATTACCTTTGACATAAAACGAAAAATTTTTATTATAAAGAAGAAGCAAACTCGCTATCTACGCTATTAAGAAAAAAACTGCTGAATTTCCGCATTTAATAGTTGTTGGTTATTAATGAATTATATAATACAGCAAGAGTATTTGGCTGATGTTTGCTGAGTAGTGGAGATTAGATCTGTTAAATAAGGAGCCGTTGGTTTGATTCCTGCCAAAAACAGTTTGATTAGGGGTGGTTATCTCCGCAACAGCTAACACTTCCACTATTTTTCATTAATGTAGAAGAAAATATTTAATTTATACAAACAAATAGGCCTTACGCTCCAAAAAATATCATAAAAATTATTAGTTCAGGCCGCAAAAACAATTATAATGCAAAAATAATGGATAACTTTTTACTAGAACTTATATATTATTGAAATTATGTGTCGTTTTTTGTAAACATTTTAAAACACAGCTTAGAGTACTTGCTTAAAATATTTATAGGTAATTTAACTTCGACTTATTACATTAAACATTTTTTTCATCCACAGGCACCATTGAATAGTCTACAACCACAAATAAATGAAATCACAAGAAATATTGCCGGTTTCATGTTATACGCCAGTTCACTGCAACTACGCATAAACATCGATGATCCACGATTCATAACGAAAAGTGAGATTCTCGAACTGAAATGCGTGTCCGATATAATGGGCATAGCAAGTGTGCGACGTGAGAAAAAAGCTCGTGTGACAATTTTGGCGTTACGCGATGCTGGACACAAGCAGCGCCTCTTGGGGCAGGGCAATAACGGTGATGCAGCCAATACGGGCGGCAGTTGTGTAAGAATAGGTAATTGCCGTTTTAATATTAAATAGTAAATTTTAATAATAATTAATTGCTAAATATCAATATTTCATTACGAAATTATTAAAATAAAATAAAATAAAATATTTGCTACTCAATACTTTCAGGCACTATACATCACTATATCTGCTGGTTATGTTTCCTATTATTTACTTGTTGGAGCCTACAGTTGCCCAACTGTCATTGGAGTTAGCTGTGTGCAGAAAATGAAATTCAACGACAAAGCCTGCCAGCTTAGAGCATAATTAGTTGTAATTTAGTAAATTAATGTGAAATAATTTTAAGAATTAGAAAATATGCCGACCTAATCACATAGAATTAAACAAAAATACCATAACTGGTGTTATGACAAAAATACAACAACAAAAACTTAATATATGCATATAAGATGCAGAAATGGAAACGAAATACTCGCACAGAATTTAAACACATAACAGCATACATATGTATATCAAAGTCTAAAGGCACTCAAAAAAATTATCAAAATAATAGCTAATCACCACACCAAAACACACTAACAAAAAGAAAATAATAATAATAATTTAGAACATCAAATCACTATCAAAAATCACTCTACTATAAAAGAAAGGAAATTTTCATATAATATATCTAAGGTTGCTAAAAAGAAAATAGCAAAATAAAATTATAAATATACATATATATATACATAAGTAAACTAAAATATGCCAAAGAGAAAGAAAATATTGTTGTTAGTATTAGAAAATAAAAATTAAAAATTAATTATAGCTAATTGAAGGAAAGGCATTAGTTAATGATGTGTATGTAAGTTTAAGAAACAATTCACTGTGCTAAGAGTAAGAGCGTACGGTCAGCGTTTATTTTCAAACATTTATAATTTGATTAGTTTTCGTTTACAAATTGCATAAAGGTTTGAAAGAAATATTGTAGTTAAAATTGTAAATACATAGATAATCTAAACTGAGTGCCGATTGTTTTGAGTTAATATTATTAAATTTTTTATTTTTATTAAATTTTTCGCAAGCGAATTTTTATGAAAATAACTAAAAGTACGTTAACTATAATAATATGTGAAGAAAATTTTGTATGTACATAATTAACGTTGATTTATGAAATAAAATATAAAATTTGAAAAAAGTAGTTTGGTGGTTATTTGACATTTCTACACTAAAAAAAAACATTCCAACAACGAAATTTATACAAAAACTAACTTCTCACTGCAACGCTTCGCTGATATTACATATGAAAGATGAAATATTATTCATAATTTGTTTTCCGGCCAACAAGAAATCAATTTAACTACTCTTCCAACCCTAGGAGAGGAAGCATGCAATTGTCCACATAAATCCAAAGATTGATCCTGAGCTCTGTTGCTAGTGATTTCTAACGCTAGTTGAGCAGAGAAATCCAGTCGCTTGAATTGAAATGGAGTATCGCACGGAATGTTAGACATTCGAGGAAATGAAGACGTCTTCACCTTTGAGAGGTCCGGTCGGAATTGAATACATTCCTCTCTAATTTTTGAACTGCAAGTCGTCTGCCGTTGCAGTGTTTAGGCTGATTAACATTTCGTAGCATTGCAATGGGCACACCAATTTTCAAAATTTAATACGTGTCATACCCACTAGGTCCAAAGAATTCAAAAATTCTGTTGGATGATTAACTATGTGATCTGCTCCAATTATATGTGACGGATTCGCTTTCAATGTTGAACTAAAAACTATAATAGACATTTTAGTTTGTTGCAGCGAAGATAGCTCGCTTATTCAACCACCTATGATCGGAATTATTGATTTGGTTATTTGGGAATTCTTCCTGAATCCATTATTCTTTTGAAGTGACCTAATTACTGAAGTTATAGGGTAATGAATTCCGTTCTGATTTGTGACCAATTAACATTTGACTGGTCCCTTAATTGGGAAGGAGCTGCTGCCCAGCTGTTTGATGTCCTCGCTAAACTAAAGGCTGGAATCACCGCCGTCCAAGAAGTGCAATGGACGAGACAAGGACGAAAGCGAGTTTGTTCTAGTAATATCTACTATAGCGGCCATATAAAGGAGTGTTGTCGAATTTGTGGTGGGAGAGAGACTCCGTCGTCTCTGATGGATGAAAGTCTCGCCACAATACGCATCGAAGAAAATTTTTCAACGTACCGTTGATTTGTGCCCGCGCCCCGACGGAAGAGAAGTACGATTTGACGAAAAATGCCTTTTATAAGCGCCTAGATCATACTTAGGAGCGCTGCCTACGACACAAGGTTAGAAAAGAAGGTATCTTTGTACGAATGTCGGAGAATTCAGCTTTCACAACGAAACATCCCCTAATGGGTTGAGAATGATTGACTTCGCCGAGGCCCGAAATATGGTTGTTTGTAATACTAAATTTGAACATAAAAAATACAGCAAGCTACTTGGCTAACCGTTGATCGAAAAGCTAGATCGATCATATTGTGATAGACGGAAGATATGTGTCCAGTGTTCTTGACGTGCGTACACTTCGAGGATCCAACATCGACTTGGATCACTATCTGGTTGCAGCGGCGACACGCATGCACCTCTGAGGATCGAAGAACGCCCGTCAACAAACATAAAAAAAAGTCCGACGTCGACTTGTATTTCTGCTGTCTAAGAGCACTTACCGGCAACTGTGGCACGGTATTTCAAGCTGCCTACATACAGCTCTAAACCACACATTTGGATTTCATAAAGGTCGCAAGAACAGTTGGTACGTTGAGGACAGTTGAGTCGCAGTAAAGACCCTGCGATCGACCTCAACAAGTGCGGGATGGGATAGATACCGAGAGACAAAGAGGAAAGTAAGACGCATCTGCAGACAAAAAAGAATAAGGCCGAGGTGAGTGGGTATGAATTTCTTAAGTAACTGGCCGAGAAGGGTAATGCTCGAAAATTATATGAGAAGATACGACGACTTACAGAAGATTTCAAGACCATGAAGACTCAGATTCTTGTAGAACGCAAAGAGGTAATCCGGCAAAATATTACCAGAGCATATCGAAGTATGGAGGGAACACTTCTCCACCCTGACAAATATCAGTGAAACTGAAGTATCCGGAGATGGTGAACCTGAAACCCCAATCGATGGTTGATACCTATGAAGAAGTTAGAATAGCACTCGATGAATCAAAAATCAGCAAAGCGGCTGCAGCTGACGGCGTACCGGTGGCACTATTCAAACATGGTGGAGAAGAGCTGACAAGGTGCATGCATCAGATACTATGCAAATGTTAGCATGCCCGACGCTTGGATTTTAAGTGTGATCTGCCCAATCCAAAAAAAAATGGGGCCCAACAGTCTGCGCCAATTATCGTGTGATAAGCCTCCTTAATATAGCATATAAGGTAATATCAAGCATATTGTGTGGGACTTCATCTGTGTGGCCTTAGACCTGGTAAGTTAACCATCAACCAGATACTCACTATGAACCGAATCTTGAAAAATACCAGTGAAAAGAGAATCGACACTCATCACCTATTCGTCGATTTTACAGCCGCCTTAGACAGCATGAACGCCGCTATGTCCGAATTTGGTATCCCAGCAAAACCTATGCGTCTATGTAAACCGACGTTTAGTAACGCTAAAAGCTCCGTCAGAATGGGTAAGATCTCCCCAAGCCATTCGATACCAAACGAATGCTGGAGAGAATAATATGAGCTGCAAAGCTGAATACAAAAGAGCTGCTGGCGTACGCCCATGATATCGCATTATTGGCCCCAACAGCCGCGCCGTGACTTCTGCTCTATCTAGATTGGGTAAAAAGCGAAGGATAAAAATGGCAAGGAAAAATATTTCCTGCCATTATACAAATAGTCATCGCCTTCGGGACTTGGCTCCTATATTACTGTTCCAGTAATAACTTCAAAGGTCATAGATCATTTCGTCTATTTAGGAACCGACACCAACACCAATAATAACGTCAGCCTTAAAGTCCAGGGCAAAATCCTCTTTTGAACGGGTGCTTCTTTGGACTAAGTAGGCAATTGAAAATTTAAGTTCTTTCCCACGGCCGCCTGCTAATCACTCTCCCCACTAAAATTACACCTTATTTAAAAAGTTCAATAAGATTGGATATACCACATATGGGGATAGGTGGACGTGGCTGTCAGTAACTCAGTACAACGATATTGCTGTACTCAGAGTTGAAATTTCATTAATAAAAACCAAGATACGTTAAAATTTATGGTAGAACAAACTTTACTGTCAACTTTAAATTCTGCTATTGCCAACGTTAGCCAATAAAAACATTTAAGAATTATTGAAAATTTATTCTTAGAAAAATATTGCCTCTTATGCACGCTGCTCACACCACTGTACCCACATCTGCAGACAGATAATAATTTACACGATTCAAAAACAAATAATTATAGGAAATCAGAATTTATAACTAAGCTTTTTACTCAGTTTGATGAACGTTGGTAATTTACAATCATTTGCTTTAAAAATATCATCATTTTGAATGACGAAAAATAGTCATTATGTTTGCCAAGTAACGTGTAGATGTCCAGCACAGCTCGCCGTTATACTTATGCCCAAAATTGAGGGAGCTTTTATGTCCACAAACTGCTCAAATAACCACATTTTGCGTGTAGGAAATTGCGTCCATTTCATATTTGTTTTGGTTTTCACAAAAATATGCATAAATTTAAATTACTTTCCATAGCTATTTTACATACAAACTCATACATCAGTACCAGCAATCAAGATAGTTCCTAACCGCTTAGTGGTGGACACCTTTGCACTGCGTGCTGGAGGTGGGAAACTTACTAATGCCGGAAGTAAGCTTGATAAATTTACTCTCATTATTTATGCATTAATTCAGCCTGTTTTAACGGCAGAAAAATGTCTTTTGATTAATCAAAAATATACATTGACAAACACATAAACTCAAACAGTCAAGCATTTTGCATATAAACGCACGTAGGCTGTTATGAATTTAAAGGCCGAATGTTGAGCAGAAACAGACAGTGAAGAACAGCCTACAAACAAAGTGGGTTCCAGTATAAAGTAGATCATTCACAGCCCACAACAGAGTACAACAAATTGCTCAATAGTGTAGGCGCTAAAGGCACTTGTCACTGGCAGCCAACAACACTTATCATACAGGCAGCATCCTTCGCAGGACTTACGCGCAGCCATTCGGTGAATATACATATATAACATACAACATACATAGATTATTTTGTATACCTTGCATGAATAAGACGGATTTTGGCGGGTAAAAAGTGGAGACATTTGACAACGGTTTGATGTGGTTTATAGGCCGGTGGAGTCATCGAAGACTGAAGCTCTTGAACTCCATGACTTTTGCTTTCAACAAGACGGCACCACTACCCAAATATCATATCAATCAATGAATAAATTGAAAGAAAATTTCGGTGAGCAGATAATTTTACGTTTTGGGATAGTAAATTGGCTATCAACCCGAGCAATATATTATCAATAAGTCATTCGCCACTTACAAATCAAAATGCTCGAACGAATCACCGAAAATTGGAATCAATGAGTGGGGGCCATCTGAGACATACGGGTAGTCGCGGCCAACATTTTAAAGAGGTAACCTTCAATAAAAGATAATAAACATTTCCCATTAAATTTGAATTTT